TAAAACACTACTCTGGATTCCTGGTATCCATCTTGCTGCGACCGCGACACATTACTGCTTTTTTTAGTGTGGTAAAGGGATTGCGACAAGCAGCGGCGTGCTGGGCGCGCGTTGCGTCATCGCGTACGGCCTCTGGCGATATTGGTAAATAATGGATACGCTGTACCCTTTAAAGAAACATCCGACTCCCAGCTTTTTGTGCAAAAAGCAAAAGAGCTCCGTCATGGACGGGGTTGAACTTGGGTCTTGTGCGCGGCAGGCGAGCACAAAACCAATCGGCCAACGAGCCCGACAGGATCGGAATCCACGATGGGAATCTCGGGATGCATTATTGCCTCAGCCGGCAAACGTTTTTGTTGCTTGAATCCTAGCACCCACGCCGCCATAACCCAATCCAGAAGTCTCCGAAAACTTTCTTCAAAAAACTGAAACTCCTCGAAAGAGGACATCATAACTAAGTGCTAATTTTTGTGCTCGATTTTATTATTTTATCCCTCTCATTCTCTGATTCTATCATTCGATTAACCCTTTCCACCCCAATCCTTATGCTTCTTCTTCTTTCCGTGTTCATTTTCTCGACCCTACCCACCCCAGGAAAAGTCGACCCGACGACCCCTACGGCTGATTTTGTGCACAAGCGGTGCGCTACCCACCACCTGACATCGATTTCAGCCTGATTGTACCGGTGGCGCCGGGAAGAAAGCGCGGGTGGAAATCTATCCCGCGTTTTTGAGGCCGACCATCACTTCTTGAGATATCTATCACCCCCACCCCGACCCCCGGGGTGTTCGTTCGTTGAAATCACAGTTTCTCACCTTTCCCCCGGATTTTTGGCGGTGTATGGATGTTGGACTTTGGGATCAACAACAGGTTCTCAGAAAAATAACGCATCGTCTTTTTGAGAATTTTTTATTAAATTTGTAATTTTGCGTTTTTGGTGTAGTATTGGGGCGCTGGCGTATCACTAGATTTACAAGATGAATACTAGATTTTTGACGGGTGGTTCTTATGAGGTTTCAGAATAAACCACCGTCTCATGGATTATCGACCATTTTCGCATAATATATTTCCGACTTCTCAAGGCGTTTTTTCGAGGCTCCGTAACGTTAATAGCAAACGTTTAGCGCAGAAAATCATGATTTGAGATTCGTAAATCGCTGGATGAATCAGCTATTGCCTTCCCACCCCTTTAAAATGCCTAGACATCTTCTTTAAGGTACTGTCACGCTTGTAATATTCTTCGGAAGCTCAAAATTTTGTTTTTAAAATGGCGAGGCCCTGACATAATTAGATTGTTGGCTTCTGTGCCCCTTTAGGCGTTCTAGAAGTTTTTTTAGCGCCGCCATTAATTTACGAATTTCTATTGAAAACTCGATTTGTATCAAGTTGATTAGAAAGCTAAATATTTATTTAAGGCTTTATTTTAGACGTCTATATACCATTAATATGCTTGGGGTGCTTTGCCAACCATCTTGGCGAAAATCCGGCCATGCCATCACTGTATTTACCCACCCCTTTCCTTGCCGCCTCCCAGAAACTCGAACCCACAAACTTTCACATTTGCATTAGCATCCCGGCAGCGCGGAGATGGGGATTTTCCCCACCGATTTTTTCGCTCGGATTGGACCTGTAAGGTGGTGGGGAGAAAGTGCACGTTTCGCTTGCCATCACCGGCAACTCGCCAGGGCTCACGTCCAGGGCCGTCGCCTAATCCTTCCTGAGAGTTTTCCTTTTCGGCCCCTTCTTCGGGTGTTATGGGTGTTTATCTCCAAAAAACGGCACAACAACTTTTTCTGATGTTCTGACCGCCTTGAAAACCGCTTAAAGTAATCGCAAATCGTTAAAAATCAATACAACAGCTTCAAAAACGCCTTTAAAGCTAGGTAAAAAAAAAAATCCAGTCATATTCTTCACGCTACTTTGAATACCACTTTCACTTAAACTGCAAAATGCTTCAAATGTTGAGGTTTCAAGCTTGATTTCGATTTTTCTGGCTTCAATTGTCATTTTTCCCTATAAATCTCAGTTGTTTACATGTTTATAAATTGTATGAATTTTATTTTCATTTAATGTAACGTGATTTGATCTCTCATGTAATTTTAATAATTCCAGCGCCGATGGTCTGATCACAAATCCGTCAAAAACCTAAAAAACCCCCGACAAATATGGATTGGGTATTCTGGCTGTTATTTGGGCTCTTCCTCGCCTTGGTCGTCTATATTTTACATATCCCCCTGCCAGCCGATATTGCTGATCGCAAGAAGTTGATCTTCTTCGAGTTCTTGCTGCGGCTTTTCAACGAGTACCTCGCCGATTTCTTCGAATCGTTCTTGGGGGCTGTGGCGCGGAATAACGTACTGCGGATCGTTACTGCCGTCGTTTATTCGATACCAACCGGGACGCCGGACTTTTTGACGGTAAGTCGAGCGTAGTCTAGCAGTACAGCTCCAAGCTTTGAAATTTTATGTTGTCAAATTAAATTACATTTTAAAACCTAAAAGCATAAAGCACTAGCATAAAAATTGTCCAGCCGTTCAGCTCAAAGTTTCAAAGCATTTAAGTACAATTTTTTCCTAATAAAATTAATTTTCAAGGATTAAAAACGACGAGAATGTTAAGAATCGTCAAAGTTATCTTATAAAATTTTCAATTCAAGTTTGCTAAACGCCTCTTAAAAATTTTATTTAGATTTGGCCACTGGCCATAACCACTAAGGTTTATCACGTCAAATTTAGTCTAATTTTCCAACCTTAAAAAGCGGATAAAAGGTTTTTAATAGCTAAATTTCCGTTGCAATACGTGTCCGTTAAATTCTTAGGTATCAAAATCTGTATTAAAGCGTTTTTGTAGATAAAATGGACAAAATTCGACGACATCCCGATCCGGGTCTACCAACCGAAAGCCCCCAAATCCAATGCGGGTCTGATTTTCTTCCATGGTGGCGGCTGGAGCACGATGAAAGCAGGTAATGCCTTCAAGCATACCGATATACCTCGCAATTTGGTTTCAGCCTACTACGACACTGTCCTCATTCCGTTAGTCAAGAAAATCGGGTGCCACGTTTTTTCGGTGGACTATCGATTGGCGCCAGAATTTCCGTTCCCGGTCCCGGCTGACGATTGTTTAAGGGCGACGAAGGCGTTATTAAAAGATAGGTATAGTAGCTTAATATAGCGCCAATTTTTGCGTATTTTAGAGCAAAGGAATACGGGGTCGATCCGGAAAAAATAATTCTGATTGGTGATAGCGCCGGGGGAAATTTGGCAGCTGTGACGACCTACCGGCTTTTGAAGGAAGGAGTTGAGCCCAAAATCAAGGTAAGTAATATTTGGGAAACATGGACGATCTGATCTTACGTTTCAAATATCGGAAAATGTTTATAAAATGGTCAGAAAATCATTTGTAACGTCAGGATACCTTAAAGCTAGGCAAGAGGCGAAGTTCATCGAAAAACTGTGAAAATGCGTGATTCATTAGCTAGAATGATTTTGAAGTCACATCAGATTGAATCCCTGATTAAATTCAGGCGTATTCTGATGTCTGAAAGTTCACAGAATTCTTGAGGATGAACTCTGAAAATCCATTAACGCAGTGATATCTTTTCCAATCAACGCTTTTCAGGCCCAAGTGCTCATCTACCCAGTCATCCATATGTTCGGCTTCAAATCACCGTCTTTTACTGGCTACTACACCCAATATAATGGGACTTCCCTGCTCAAGTAAGCCTAGAAGGACCCTCAAAGCACAAATCAAGCACGTTCTTTAGCCCTCCAACGATGGCCCGATGGGATTTGTTCTATCTTGGAGAGGATGGGTCGAGGGATAAAGTGCGAGTGCTGCTGGATAATGGGCATATTGACGAGTAGGTATTTGGTCGTAGTTGTTACTTACTGTAGCTTGTAGCCAACAAAAACTAGGTTTTCATATTTTCTTTAGCTTGAAGACCAGTTATTTTAAGTTTACACGTTGCAAGTTGTTTATCCGTATAAACATTAATTGTCGGGAGTTTTTACTTAAAGGTTTTATTAAAAGTATTTTATCGTTTTTTAATAATCGATCTGTTTTAGAAAACTCACCTCCCATCCTGAATTCTCGAAATGGTTCCCGAACTGGCGGGCCGAGAAGAATGAGGAGAATTTGGTCCGTAAGCAGCCGGATGAACGAGTGAGTTCTTGACGACTACATACAAACATGGTTACAAATTATGAAAACCACTTTTAATTAACGCTTGCTTCCTTTAGCTCGCCACCCTCTTCCGCGAGAAGGCGACAAACCCCGAGATCTGCCCGATCTTCGCCGAAAATCTGGCCGACTTCCCGCCGACGATGGTGCAGACGGCTGGCTATGATATTTTGAGGTAGGAATTAGACAAATTGGGGCGTAATACTAGCTTAACTTATACTAAATCACATATATTTCTGATTCTTTAGAGACGAAGGCATCCAATTCGCAAATCGGCTGAAGGAAGAGAAGGTGAAAGTCAACTGGAAGAATTATCCGACTGGGTGAGAAATTTGGAGCAAGAAATTGATTTTAAAGGGAGCATGGCAGAAAACAATAATCCTTAGATAAAAGTTTGCTCTTTTAATTAACGACAAAATCGAAAAATTATCCTGATTTTCATTGCAAACGGGCTAAAAATTGTTTACTAAAAGGGAGGGCAGAGAAAAAGGTAGCTGTAAAGTAATAAAAATAGTTTGGTTTTGATGCCTATGTAAGTTTTTTGATATTAATTGATAAAACGGATTCATTAGTTAAAAATAGAACATGTAATTAACTTAATGCATAAAAATTTTTAGTAAACGATTACTTTTATTACATTTTTAAGGTATCACGGAGTTTTCAATATGCCCGCCTCACAATTGCGTCGCGAGATGGGCACGGATATTGCCGAATTTTTGAGCGAATTTTTGTGATTTAAATTGTTTGTTTGCCGTCCTTTTAGTCGTTCTTATCCCCCTCTTGAACACCTCATATTGGCTACCGGTATTTTTGCGCTTCTAGAGTACGATACTTACTATTTCTCCTCGGCCCCGTTCTAGTCACCCCGAAAAATATGTCTCAACAAAAATGCCCAAAAAATGTCTTTGCTTGCTAGTTGTGTGATCTGCTCAGGTGCCATAACGTTTAGAGTGATTTTCAAAGCGTTGTGATCGTTTTTTGATAAATTTTTGAATGCTATTTTTCAGAAAACATAGTAATACGGGAATACGAAATCGAAACAAGAATAGAGAAAACTTGTCCCCCCCCCCCCCGCCCCGATAATGCGCAAGGACCCCATAATTAAAAAAAGCTTACGGTAGTTTGCCGAAAATCCCCACAATTGCAAAAAAGTACGGCTTTTTCCGCGACTTCCTGTATCCTGCACGCAACCCGCAGGCATGGTCTTCGTACCGTTTGTTTACCTAATTCTCGATTTCAATCCCTTTGCCGTGTCCGCCGAGTCTCCAATTGGCGACGAGAGGATCGGATGACCGGACGCCGTTTAAAAGACCAGGGACTTTTCCGCATCCGCTCGGGGTGGCCACCGCTGGAACGGTTTGCCATTTTGAAATGTGGCAATTCTTTGCGCTGTTCTGGTTGCCAGTTGTTGTTTTCTGTACGGAAGATGTGGTTACGGCAGGTTTTGACGTGGAGACGCTCGACTTCAAGCCGGAGTTTTTGGAGGAGATTCGGGTAGGCTCTGAAAGTTCAATTTTTCTCTACAGGGAGTGGTTTTTCGGTAGAATGGGTCTTTTTCGGCATCATATAGCTCATTTGATAAAGCATAAAATACTGAGCAAATCCCATATTTGAAAAACAACTAAACGCCCAGGGTCTTCGAGAAGTTTTTTAAGCTCAAATTTTCTAAGATCGTGACAAAAGCGGAAATCTGTCCTTTCTGATCAAATTCCGTTCTTTGGCGTAATTGATTGGAAACGCGAAAAACGCTGTTCAGCGAAAAAAATTTAATTTGAAAATTAGGATAAATATTAAAATTAAAAGCTCATTTTCCAGAAATCGAACATGACCCTCGACGTCTCAACCCGAGCCAAACGCCAAATGTGCTCCGGCTGCTCGTCGTGTTCCGGAAATGCTTGCGGATCTTGCTGTAAGTCACTTTACGCGGAGCACTGAATATCTACGTAGCGCAGCGTCACAGGAACCCGAAAATACGTAAGAAACCCGAACGTTAATAGCATTAACTATATATGCCCGTACTTTTTCCCCCAAAATACCAAGCTAATTTAGATACCCTCATCGGTTAAGCGGTTAACGCAAATACTTGAAAAACCATCGCCGTTTTTAGGCAAGCAATGCAGCTACCCAGGGCCCTGCGGATGCCAGCCTTGCAATAATTCTGTAAGTTTTGAAAGGGGAGCTTTATTAATGCATTACATACAAGAAGCGCCGTAAATACCTAAAATTATGGAGTTTTTTGGGAAACAAAAATATACTTTAGGAACCTCGACCCTGTGTAAACTGTGGATTAGCCAGGGGCCAAAACCGTTGCTGTTCTTGCTGTCGGCCGGCTTGTAGACCGGGGTGTATGTTTAGAGGAGGCACAATATTGAATTTTGTTATTTGTACTACTTAATGTATTATGTTATCATTGCGGCGCCTAGTGCGCATCAATAAATAAATAAAAATTTAACCTTGCCTTATTTTAGGCTGTAATTCCTGCAGCAGTTTCCGCTATCGCTCCATCGACTATTACGACTATGGATCGTTTTATGGTGGCGGTGGATTTGCTCAATATGGATAAAATCATATAAGTATTAATACGACTGTAGGTATCAATAAAGGCTCAATCCTTAACACTAAAATAAGCACAATCCACACACTCCACTTCCATCAAAGTTCGCAAAATTCGCACAGACCAAACGAGACACATCAATCTGTACGGAACGATTATTTCGGCGGACTGGCGGTGTGATAGTGACGAGTTTTGTTGGCGCGCCATTCTAATAAAACGGCTCGAGATTTCTGCATTTTTGTGGTTGAATCTTACTTGTGCGACCAGAAATATGTGGGTTGCACTCGCTGTCGTTTTTGCTGTTTTTGGTTGTAAGTTTTTTGTTTGGAAAGCTCTAAAAGCTTACAAATCTTGGTTGTTTTGTTAGTTGGCGTCATCAGGCTTTTCACCCCTGAATTCTGCACTCTATACGCTCTAGCTTTTAAAACTCTTTTTCATTATATCAATTTTGAATTTTCGCGCAGCAGTAGAAATTAGCCGCGGGCAAGTCGAGTTTCCCGCCAAATCGAACGATCTTTACTCTCGTTGCTTAAAATTAAAATGAAACGTTTTTGGAAAAAGCTGTTTTTCCCGAACTTTTGGCCCATCCGGCTTAACGTCTCGAGAGCCCTAATCGCAAAATTGTGTAGAATCCGGAATATCGGAGCCGTAAAAGCGTAGATGCCCTACGCAATTCAAAAACACGCAAAATACCGCGGCGCTTGATAAGCTAAATTACCCAATTTGACCGCCGCCGTCTTATGTGAATTTTGTGGTAAGCAGAGTGTAGCGTCGAAAAATGGAATTGCAAGAATTTGTCGCCGTGGTCACTTGGGAAAAACCGTAAAATTCGAATCAAAATGTTCTTGCTGTTTAGTGAGTTCTGCCTCGGCGACTTGCGCATGCTCGGGAAACTTCACCGCGTACAAGCCGACGTATAGTATCACGGCGGCTGAGGATCCGACACAGATGTACAACCATTTTGCGCCGTGTTATCCAGATGGTGGTGTCTGCTACAGTATCATTAACCCGAGCGTTCAGGGTTATGGAGTTGGGGTGAGAATTGGAAAGGTCGATCCCTGAAAAATTGCCTTAAAAATACGGACTGCTGAAAAACAGCCTATTGATACTTTTATATACTTGGCTAAAGTTCACAGCAGTAGAAACACAAAATTAACGTGTATAGCGTACTCTGTCGCACCACGTCAAACTTTAATCTTTTAGTGGATCATCATCGACAACTTCATCGTCCCAGATGGCTATAACTTTACTGTCACTATCACTGATGGAAGTGTGACTAAATTTGTGTAGGATTAGCTTTCGGTATTGATACGGTTTTATAGCCTGACCAAAGACAACATCAAGCTGTACAGAGGCCTCTTGGCGAACTGGACCAGCATAAATGGATACATCACGATTTTGCAAGACTATGGGCAGAATGCTGGGAACAGCAAAGGTTAGTCACGGACAAGTTTTGTGCAAAATTGTTTGTTTCAGTCGACTTCACCTTTGTCGCGCACCCGATGAAAAATCGCTGATACGGGGGTAATTCAAATTTTGAATAAAGTCTTGCAAACTACACAAGTCAAAAAATAGACCTTTGCGGACGAGAGCACCCAATTTGCCGTTTCGAAACCTTCCAAGGAGACGTTTTTGATGACATCTCAATTTTGTAGGTGCGATAGCTCATCCGGTAGAGAAAAAAATTCTGAACAAGATCGCGTTTTCCAAATCTGCTTAATCGCCGATGCGCTTGAGAAAAATTTATTTTATATCGCAAATTTGACGTTAGTCCAGCAAGTACAAATTTTTGCGATACGCGCAGGTCCATTTCAAGAAGCGCAAACTAGATTTATTTAGCTATCGATTGTGCTCAGAATCGAGCCCCTGCCCTTCTCTTCCATCGGGTAATCAGGTGCGCTTGTCGGCAGCTTATTTTTTGCAGAACTCATAGGGAACAACCGAGAACAACAAGCGTGCATTGCCAGGCCCGGCTATTCGATCATGATGATTGTACGGCCAGCGCTGCTACTCTTTCTCTTTGGCCTTGGTACACCTGCGTCAAAGTGCCAAAGCTTCACGCACTTCACGCTTCAACGCTAAAGGCGTGAAGTTTTTCGATCCGGTCAACCAGGCTTTGTTATGGTTGCAAGGCGGCTTCTCACAACGGCTGACTCTTTTCAGCTTGACCGGTGAAAGCGACCTCGGCCCAAAGATACAATTAGACGGATCCACAGGTTTCGTCAGAATGACGACTACTACGGCGGCATTCAGTTCACCGTTAGCCCTATTATCACTGGAGATAAAATTCCCTTTTGCCCTCCCTGAATTCGGTGTTGGACTTGCAATAAATCAAGAATTTTTCAATTTGTTCTAACGACTGATACAAAGTTCTAGCGGTTGTATCAAATTTCTGCACGTATAGGGTCTCCTCCCTGATATGGCGCTCAACCACATCACCGAGCAAAAAGACAAAATTCGACAAGACTTTCGCTGTTCGGCACGTTGCCCCGGTTTTTCATGTTCGAAATGTAATTTTCTTCTTTGCGGTTAATGGTTGTAAGTTTTTTATATTTAGTTCAAGCAGAGTGGCTGAGACAAAGCACTCGGGCCAATCAAAATTGTTTTTGCCAAAATGGGCGTGGTTTCACAACACTATCAGGTTCGTATTCAGGTAGACGTTTGGGCCCCATTTCTGGTAAATCACCGGGGTTAACGTGCGCGATAAAGGCGCGTCACAATCCTTAAAAAAAAGTCAGGCCTTGCTACTGATAAGTGACATTAGGGGGTCGGGCAATGTCGCGGGTTTTTTGGTAAACAGGAGCTTTTGAGTACTGACCATAATAATTCATCGTGTAGTAGTAAATGCATATGCCGTGCATTTATAGCTAGCGGACGGTCTGCCTCAACATCTTTATTAGGAGCACGTGATGGGTTTCGTGATCCGTCGCAAGAGTAATTTGCATAAACATGTGCGCGGACGCGCCGGCGCAATGCGTTGCGGCGGCCGCTCCATATGGTAAACTGTCATTGGGACAAGGCTTTACGGGTCAGCCATGGGTGCCCGGGCTAGAGGAGTAGTAAGGCTTTGAGGGCACCCATGACAATCGTATCAAAGTTTTCGGAAGCCTCAAGCAAGAAAAATGGGGCTGTGCTCCAGGAAGTGTATAAGCAAAAGCACAAACTCTTGTTAGCAAAAAAAAAATAATGAAATAAGCCTTCCAGTAAGCACCGTCATAAGCTCTCGATATTTACGCAGTGAAGTACTGCCAAAAACACAATTAACGCGTATCGTTAATAATCTGAACTTGATTCGTACTAATTAAAGTAAAACATGATGAGAATCCTGGCTTATCGGCCATCCGGTTTTATTACCGGAACGCTCTCCTTTTTATGTCTTCCGGAATTACGGGGATAGCGCTCGGTAGGCTTTATCTATTGTCAGTGTCCACCAAATTTTCACCATGACTCGGCCTGCATCGTCAATTTTGCGTAGTTGTTTAGTTCCGTAAGATTCGCATAGCAACGTACCGTACTTCCTCTAATATAACCCCGGGGTTGATTTTTCAACCACTTCAGGGGGCGGTAGTAGAGGGAGCAATCTATTTTTCGCGATTTTGAGTAATTCCAACGATTTCTAGCAGTTCAAACGGCTCCCAACCACTCAGGATCCCCGTGCAAAGTAATAAGACAAACGTTTTTTGCTATCTTTTTTGCAATCTTAAACAAAACTTCAAAAAACATTTTGGGCGGGTTGTTTTAGATGGGGGCTATATTAGAGGAAATATGGTAATTGAGTAAATATGTGCGGATTTGAATACTATCATATTTTCGTGCGAAAAACCTTCAGCTATATCTATTTTTTAAATTTTCAATCACCGTCGCTACAAGTCTTATGGTTGACTTCACGGTGCAATGTCCACGATTTTGAACAAAAACAAATTTGCCTCGCCGGCACGGATACCCGGCAACGTTTGTAGAGATAGGTCCATTGCGTCGCTAAGTATGAAGGGCGTGCCGAAATTTCATTTATCTATCGATTGCCTCCCGAATAGCGTCTCGCCCTTTCCCGCCACTCCAGCCATCTGAAGGCGCCGCGTCAACGCTGCACGCCTGTATTTCGGGTTATCGGCCATTGTTTCCGCCCGATTCAACACCCATTCCGGTCCCACAAATGGCCCCCGATACAAAGATAAGGCAGCCCGGATTTTTTCACGCTGCCGATGGGTGCGGGCGACGCCCATTTCCTGCAATTCCGTTGGGGTCTTGGGGGTATTTTATAGCGAAAGCGCCATTTAGCGATGATAGAGGTGCCTGGCCTTGCATGTTGTTCTTTTACGTAATTCTGGTTAGCGGGGTTAGCACCGATCTGGCTGCAAATAGGGTTGGGATAGCTTATTAGCGTTTCCCAGCTTTCCAACGAGCTTCCCGGGTGAAAAGAATGAAAGAATTGTTATTATTTTGCGAATCAATTTACTGCTTCTGATTCATTACATTCGTTCTTTTACATTCACCTGCGGAATCCTCTGCCAATATATCCCAAATTTTTTTAGCAGCTCCGGTCGCCGCTCGTCGTGATGATCGTGCGGACAACATTACTGTTCTTTGGGCTGGGTAAGCCCTCCGAAAAATGAAATAATAAGCCCATTTCTAGTTTCGTTGGTTTCCTCATACTGCATTTGCTCACAGAGCTACACGAAAACCTACCCTACCTTCGTTATCCAAAGCGCGTACGATAACGTGACCTATGACTACTGTCCGCCAAGCGGCGATCAATGCACCGTCGTCATCAACCAGAATGATCCTCAGAAGGGAGCCGGGGTAGGAGTATCGTTTCTAAAAGATGATACAGAGGAGGGCGACAAGTCACAACTTGCTCTAGTAATCTAATGTATTGAATCTCAGGAGTTCGTCGTCACGGAATTTGACGGTGGAAATGGTAGCTTGTTCACGGTGGTGATCAAAGATGGCAATGACACGGCCTTTTCGTAAGTAGTTTTTTTGGGGAAAGTCCAGGCGCTTGGCGGGCTGACCTCCTGGCCATCTTATTGTGAGCTATAATCGAAGTGTTGCGAGAAATGTTTCTCCATGAAGCCAGCGACTCCTCAGTCAATTTCAGGTTCACCCGGGACACCTACCCCTTATTTAAAGATGCAATGGCGAAATATAAGAGCTTTCATCCCATTGTCACCGTGCTTCTGCAGTACAATGGGGATACAAATGGTAGGAATAAAGCTACCCGGCCATCTTTCCAAAATTCTATTTTTGCCAAAGCCATTTGCCTTAAATTCAGTTTCCTAAAAGTCATCTTTCCTAAACCATTTTCTTGAAACCCCATTTTTATCAGGACCGTTTTTCCTAAAAGCCGAACACAGCACCAATCTGCATCAAATGCCGGTTTATTGAAAACACTCCTGAGCAAAAATTCCTTTAAGGAAAATGGCTCTAGGAAAGTTGGTCATTGGGAAAATGGCCATCACCCGTTAATGAGGCCTATGGTCGTAGCCCCTTTGGTCTGGTCAACTTTCCAAGTATCGGATTCGCTATTTGCAATTTAGGATTAAAGTTTGCCTTTAGTGGTCTTCAATATGAATGGATATCCGACCGGTCTTGCTCCCCCTCCGTCAGAGACTACCGTAAGTTTTAAAGCTACCGGCTACAATGCGTAGTTTTTAGCCAGTAACGCAGCCTCCAACGGGTGGCCCGGCAGGCTTTTTGGGCGTTGACCTGGCCTTTGCTTTCGATTCGACCGGATCCGTTCCGACGGTCTTTGCGACGGTTTGTAATTTAGCGCTACCAACTAATGTGCAGTTGAATTTTGAAGAGACGAAGACAGCTTTTGAAAATTTCAGCACGGAGCAAGCTAACATTCAAGCCCAAAATATCAAAATCTGCGCGTATTGAGGCCTGTTCTGGAAGCTAGCTTAAAATAATAATTTTTGACGAACCTTATTGCCGAAATTAGGCAAAGTTCTCCGATTTAAACAATATCAGGCTTTCGAGGAAAATACAATATCGATATAATCTTGTATGACAAACCGCTCCTATGCAACAAAATGATTTCAGATGAAAAGCGTCATCAAAGATGCAGTAAGCCAGCTGACGGTTACCGAAGATGTTACACAACCTTACGGCGCACGACTCTCGCTTCAATCGGTTTCTTCCGCCAATCAAGCTAACAATTTGGCAGTTCCATGGCTAGTCTATCGGCCCGATTCCCATAAGGTGCGAATTTTCAGGGCTGTCACAAGGGAGGAGTTCGTGGGTCTCGTCAACGCCGTGCCTACGCGAAACCAAAAATCGTTCTACCAATAGTAAAGTTACAATCGGAACAGTGACCAATCTTTCAGCCCACTTAATGCCTTCCTGGATGACGCTGGATATTTTTCTGCCCAAGCAAAAGATGGCGCCAGCTCACGTACGAATGTTCAGCGTATTTACGCCATATTCACGCAACACGAGTAAGCATTGGCGCTAGGAACCAGATATCGTGTGGTGGCTTTCAAATGAATGTCGCACTTTTCCTGTGAAACAAGCTTTGACGCTAAGAATTACTAAATCTCATTTCTGCCCATAATACATTCCAAGTTTGCAGTCCTGATGACGAACCCGCGGATTTGAAACCGATACTTGATAAGTTGGTAGCTCGCGATGTCCATCTCGTTGTCCATTGGTTTGGGTCCACGCCTTCGAAGTACTTCCCCACCGTCGCATTGCCCGAATCCAATATTGCGTATCTCCCCTATACCGCAAATTCCACAGATTTCTACGACAAATACGTCTTGAACGGCGATTCTGGTTTGGTCAATTGAACGTTAACTATGCTTGCTCTTTCCAGACCAAAACTTTGGATGTGCGTTGGGTAAACAGGCTAACTTAGATATTGCTAATGGGCCTGGGACCTGGCCACCGTAAGTTGTACGCGATCTATTCTGATTCCCACTTAGAAACTACGAGCGTGGCCAAAACAACTATTGCAACAATCAAGATGTCACCTTGCAGCTAACCAACGCTCCGGTAAGCGAATCCTAGTGTGTGAAACTTATTTGTCTAGGTTGGCACAACGGCTCTTTGCATCTCAGTCAAGAACTATCAATTGGAAATTGAGAAGGACTATGCGAGGTTCTACGATGCGGCCGGGGTTGAGGTAGCAAGGTACGTTTTGAACTTATCAACTGGTTAATCCTGAATTTTTGCTGGTGGGCGTGATGCAATCAATTCAGCTTGACCGGTAACAACGTCTTCGGCGCCCAATTCCAAATCAACGGCACGACAGGCTCGGTCAGACTGACCACAAATGAATATCTCGTCTACAACGGTCTCAGCTTCACCGTAACGACAAAGACCGGGGATAACCCCAGCTGCGATCCAAGTCCTTAAATTGTGTGTAAATAATTTCGGTGGATAATAAAGACGATCGCTTCGTGTTCGCAAAACATTGCTGCTACAAACTCCTACTCTGCCGGCATGACACATAGGTGACACCACTCGGAACAACAGTTGTGGCACCTGTAGATTATTGAACTGTGCCGCAGCTGTGCTACAGCTGTGTATCCCCCACAGCTGTGCCACCGTTGTGCCCCCGCGCCGCTTATTGTTTTGGAGGCGTTCCTGGAGGTGAAATGGTTTATTCTAGGGCTTTATGATGCTAAATAGTAGCTCTGGTCCAAAAAGCAAAAAATAAAATCCTGCGCGGATCCGAACCTTCGTTACTTTGCCCCACGCTTCGCCTAACTCCTTATCCACTAGACCACGATGACACATCGGTCGGGGAGCGGAGGAAGCCTATGAAGGTATAGCGAAAATTTCAAAGGCTTATAAATTGGTTCATATACACTCCATGCAAATAAAAATTAGTTTGCCGGGTTCAGTTCTTCAAGCTCTATAAATGTGCCAATCTCAAATCGCAGTTTTATGTCCGGATGGGACCGTCTCCTTGTCGGCCAAAATTAGTGTTAAATCAAAAAACCCGAAGTAAATGGAGTCGAAAGCAGTCACGAGAAAACTTCCGACATATAAACAATATATTTTACGAAAATTTTATTTTTTGACCCGAAAAAATGACTAAGTCCCGGGCCACAGCTGTGATTCCGCTCCGGGATGCCCGACACAGCTGTGATTCCACTCCGGGATGCTCGACACAGCTGTGACACCGCACTGGGGCAGCGGTAACGGTGACACAGCTGTGAGTGAACGCGAGCTGTGACACCGCTAAATTTTCCTAGCTACACAGCTGTGCCACCGCTAAACGGCCACTCACAGCTGTGTTTCCGCTATTAGCGGTGTCTCCTATGTGTCATGCCGGCAGAGTAGATAGGAGTAACGGTAGAAAAACGATAAAGGAAGTAAAATATTCTTATTTTGTGTGTCATAGACGCGGGTCAAGCCGGAGTTGAGGACTACATTTGTTCTAGTATCAATGGAAATGCTTTTGACTAACCCGACATATCTGTATTTATTGGCGAGCTGCTGGGCCATCAAAAAACAAAAGGCCTTTGCGCCCTCCGGCCATTTTGGCTAGGAGACAATATTGGACAGCGGAAAGCAAGAAACATACCTCTGGAAAAATCGCTACCATACTACTCTGGAGCCGAACTATTTAAACCCCCCGGGCTCGGACAATCAAAACTGCTTTTTGCAAAGAAACTCAAAAGGTTCCGAAAATTTTAAATTATGAAATTTTCGCATGCATGATGACGGCCAGAGGATTGCAGAAAATTAAGCAGCTATCAAAATAATAATAAAAACGAGCTTCAGCCAGCTATTGGCAATTGAATTGAAACAATGGTGCACGACGGACTTCGGTAAGATGACGCGGTTCCAGCGCGGCCTCGGAACCTCCAGAAGTCCATTCCCTTGACATTAGGGAGAGGTTTCCAGATCTGCAGGTTTTCTTGCCATAAAACAATCGTCCCGTCGACGGGGTCCCGGGAACCGTTTGATCTGATAAGAACAACCAGAATCGAAACGTCATCGTAATTGGGGTCTTTTATAATTACAAGCCAAATAACGACCTCATAACAAAGATAACAAACGATGATTCTTGGTTGCGTGGTGGCGACGCCCATTCCCTCAATTCTCCGGGTATTTATAGACCAGAGACCATTTCCCGGCTTCTTGTCATTTATTTGGTTCGGCTTTGCTGCCTTTCTAATTTTAGCATAATATTTTTTTTTTATCAGGCTTGCTTGTTACCATGATCGTGCGGACAGTGTTGCTGTTACTTGGACTTGGTATGCGGAACTAGACACCCGTAACCTAAGAATCTTTAGCTTCTATCGCGTCATCGATATGCATGTGCTCTTGGAATTACACAAAAAGCTATCCTACCTTCGTCATTCAAAGTGCCTATGACAACGCAAACTTCGACAATTGCGAACCGCAGACACCCAACCAGTGCGCGGTCGTCATCAATCAGAATGATGGCTCGATGGGAGTCGGGGTGGGAAAACTGTTTTTTTCTTAAAAACCTACAATCAGGGGTTTGTCGTCACAGAGTTTGATGTGGGAAGCGGCGATTCTTTCACGGTAGTGATCAAAGATGGAGATCAAACGGTTTTTACGTGAGTTTGGTACTCTTCATGCCTTCTTTCTTTCGTGTTCCTATTATTGCGCCCGGTATTCATCCACGTCATAGAAAAACATTTTTTGGCTATACCGCAGACAGCCTTGCGAAAAATCGAACTCGGATTTTTTTGAGTTCGATTTGAGATAAAATAAGGCCTTTGCAGGCTCTCGCGGTCCAACTACGCCAACTATAAGGAGCAATTGGCTCTCTATGCCAGCTTTAATCCAGTTGTCACCGTCCTTCTCCAGTACTATGGAGACAAAGATGGTAGAGGCTTCGAAAAATTTATAGTTTCAGCTTGGCTGGCTTGGTGAAGCCACTTTATCTACGCCACGCCATAACTTTTTTATTGTTTAGTGATCTTCAATATGTATGCGTACCCTAGAAGCATTACTACGCTGCCGACAGTGCCTACGGTCAGTAGCCGAGTGATATCCTTATGAAAATTTAGACCCCGACACCGCCTCCGACGGGCGGCACGGCAGGTTTTTTGGGCGTCGACCTGGCCTTTGCATTCGACTCGACTGGCACTGATCAAGCTGTATTTACCACGGTGCGTTAATGAAGCTCGGAATAATCGGCAAGGCAAAACGCGCGTTTTTTAGCACGAAACTAGCAATCAGTACTCCGCTTTAAAAATTAACATTTTTTAAATTTTTTTCGGAGACGCGAGGGACCACGTATGTTAAAAAACACAAAAGTTAGAGTCGTTTTGCGTTTCCCAGGAGCTTGCGATTCCTGCAAAAACCATAAAAACGAATCCTCCACCGAAGCTCTAGGGAAATAATTTTTGGGCCACTTCGCACTCGAGTATCGGCATGCTAAGCCAATTTTAGATGAAAAAGGTCATGAAAGACACCGTCAACCAATTGACGGTCGTACAAGATGTCAAGCAACCTTACGGCGCGCGTCTGTCGCTCCAGTCAATTTCTTCCTCCAACCAAGCGAATAACCTGGCGGTTCCCTGGCAAGTTCATTTTTAAGGCCCTTGACGACTCAGCTTTCAGGGCTCTTACAAAAGACGAATTTATTCAAATCGCCGACATCATACCCACGCGAAACAAACAATCGTTCTATGTATAGTAAGTTCCGAAGGAAACCATGAACATTCCGATCTAGTCCGTTGCAGGCATTTCTTGAGAACCAAGGGTATTTCTCGCCGAATACTATCGATGGGGCCAATTCTCGCACCAACGTGCAGCGTATTTATGCCATCTTCACGCAGCATGAGTAATTTTTGCGCTGTTTATAAATTTCCATATAAATGGTTTTGTCGATAGCTAGATATGCGAAAAATTCGCATCGAAAAATGATAGCGGAATTTGAAACCAAAGCTGGCGACAAAAACATCCATATTCCGAACGGTTTTAGCTGGCTTTCGCAACTAATTTAAAAG